GGCCCCTCCTTCACCACCATGGTGGGGGGGCCCAGCGGCCACCCCTCACCTTCCTCTTCCTCCTCCTCCTCTTCCTCCATCCCCACCATCCGGGCGATGAAGTCCTTCATCTGGGCGATGCCTTGCTGCAGGGCAGGCAGTAGTGGGGCCAGCCAGGCTTCCTTGGCCCGCCCGGCCACCAGCTCCATGTTGCCCACCATCTGGACAGCCTGGAGACCCCCGGGGACAGCGGCGTCACCGGTGGCAGACCCAGCCTTCCCGAATAGGAAGCAGCCAGGCACCCCAAAAACCCCACCTGGGTGCCACCAGCACCCCTCCGGTGTCCCTCCCCGCCGCACCTTGGCCAGGAGCAGCAGTGTGCGGCTGGTGCGTGCGTCAGCGTGCGTCTCCCGGAGGTGGAAGAGCTTGGGGGTCATGATGGCCGGCGAGAAGAAGCGGAGGCAGAGGAAGCTGGTGATGGCCACAAACTTGGCGTTCTGCAGCCAACGGGGGTGAGGGGAGACGTGTGAGGGTCTGTCCCAACGCATGGCATCCCCAGGCACCGCATACATCAACGTACTGGGGACACGGGGCTGGCTTCCAGCACTGGGGCTGCTGGCTGAGTGCCACGTGGCCCCACTGTCCCCCTGCGCCCCATCCCTGGGGAGGTGCCCCCATGCCCAAGAGGGGACCCCATCAACCGAAGCTGGGGGCTGCACCAGCGCACCCTGTCCCCTGGGAACGTCCCCATTTGACCCCCAGTCCATCCCTCGCCACAGCCCGACCTGGTGCTGAGGGAAGCGCTCCTCAACGCGCCGGAAGAGCTGCCGGAAGGCGGCGCGGATGATGGGGGGACACGACGACAACGACTTGACGATGGCGCCCAGCAGCTCGCCCAGGTAGGACTGGAGGTGCTGGCGGCCCTGCTCGATCACCTCGCCCTCCGTCTGCACCCGGTGCAGCCCCGAGCACCTGCGGGCACCGTCACTGTCAGCCCCACGGCCGGGGTCCCTCCCGCCCCGCCACCCCGCACACCCCTTACCCAGCGTCTTTTATCTCCACCTTGCCAGGGTCCAGCTCCACGTACTTCTTTTCCTCGAACACGCGGGTGATGGTGGGTCCCAGGACGGCGTGCAGGTATGGCATCCCCGTCACCTGCCAAGGGACCGCACAGGGAACAATGATGGGGGACACAGCCACAAGTTTGGCACCTGACACCCCCCGACTTCCCGATAAGGGTCACCCAGGGGATTTTCCCCAACCTCCCAGCCCCAGGGGAAGACACAGCCCCACCAGTCCTCCCAGTACTCCACCCAGGAACCAGCCCCAGTGGGACAGCCCAGAGCCAGGGTGACCTGGGAAGAGCAGGTTTCGGGCAGTGTGGCACCTTGAGGAAGGACTCCATGGACTTCGAGGCCAGAGAGTTGCTCCGAAACAAAGTGTTGGGCTCACCTGCAAAACAGGAGAGGGTCTGTGGCCTGGGGGACGGCCACAGGTCACCCACCAGGCAGCTGCAGTCACGGGGGGCATTTACCGGGGCTGTGCCCTCCAGCCCTGGCCATTTCCGTGGGAGTTATGGGGATTTCCTAACCTCAAACCACCTGCTCCTCCATCAACCTCAGCTGACCTCAGCCCAGGAGTTGCTTGGGATGAACCCAACAGGTTCCCACACCCAGAGCACAGCGTGATGGCTGAACCTCAACCATCACCACCCAAAAAAAAAAAAAATCACCACACAAGCTGCCCAGGGTTTTGCAGCCCCAGGAGATGGCTGGCAGCCTCTGGCTCCACTCCTTGCACCAGCCTTACAGGGCTTGGCCAGCTCCAGCTCGAAGAGCAGGTCCAGGAACTCCTTGGCCAACCCTTGGCCCAGGAAGAGTTTGACCAAGTTGATGGCGACCTCCTGCCGGCACTCGGCTGTGGTGGTTTCATCCAGGAGGGTGACCAGGTGCACTTGGCCATCCTGGTGGGGAAAGGCACCACGACATGATGGCCTGGGGGAGACAGGTGCCCCGGCAGAGAGCCGGAGGAAGGTGGGGCTGTGCATGGACCCCTCACCTGGCGCCCTGACTTCACCTCCTGGCAGAGGAGCTGGACCAGGGGCTGGTAGCAGTGGGAGGGCAGCACCGTCTCGTCCCGCAGCCTCACCTGCAGCTGCAGCGAGCGGAGGTGGCCCAACAGCCCCGGAAAGCCCAGGCAGGCAGGTGGGGCTGCCCTGTGTTTGCCCCCCACCCCTGACAAGGGCATTTCCAGGAGTTTCCCCTCCAAAGGGATGATGCTTCCCAGGAATAACCCCCTCCCCAAAGCCCCTGAGGGCACCGGGACCACCCCCGGCACACCCCAACACCCCCCCATGCTGAGACTCACTCGTCCTCCCTTGGCTTGGACTTGTCCGGCCACAGCCTGAACCAGCCCTCCTCCTGCCCGGCCGCCTCCAGCCCCTGGACGCTGAACACCACCTGGGGGGGGACGGCAGGAGGGGGTCGGGTGGGTGGCTGGGCAGGGTTCCCCACAGCGGTGGGGGGGTTTGGGGGCTCACCTTGCCCAGGAAGTCATTCCTGCCGACGAGGTCCCAGTCCCACACCTCCACACACAGCTTCTCCTCGGTGGGCTCGGCCAGCTCAAACTCAAAGGTCTCATTCCAGCGTGGGTAGCAGGATTTCTTGACCACCTGCAAAGGCAATGGCTTCATTCCCCCTCACTGGGCGGATCCAACACCCACCAGGGACACTGAGTTGAGGATGCCAGGAGACAGGGTTGGCTCCTGGCTCAGGTCTGGGCTTCCCGGTGGGATGTCTTCACCTGCGCGGCTGGCAGGTTGAGGGATCACGATAAACTGAAGTCGTGCTCACCGTGCTCTCCTGCACCTTCCCATTGTAGCGCAAGCGGACAAAGGGGTCGGAGGCACCGTTCCGGTCCTTCCTGGCCAAATCCCTGCCAAGAAGAGGGAGAATTTGCCAGCATCCTCCGAAAATACCTACGGGCACCCACTCCCTTCCTCGGTTCCCCAGCATCTCAAGATGCACCCCCTAAAGACCAGCAGATGAGGTGGACCCTGCCCCAGGACCCCCATCTGCTGCTGGGTGGCGGGGAGGATGCTCTGCACCCAAGGGAGGGTAACTGAGAAGACCCTGATACAGTGGGGAAACTGAGTCACGGAGCAGCCAGGACTCACTAGATATGTCCTGGCTGTACATGCAGCCCCCTGCCACCCCAGTGTTCCCTCCTCACCTGGCCTCCAGCACGGAGCAGCGCAGCTGCCGGCTGCCCTGGCTCCCCAGGGCCTCCAC